GTAGAGGGGGAGAATCTCGTCCCTCACCACCCTCGCCACGCTTCTGACACAGCCCAGGAACCGGTTGGCTTTCTGGGCTGCCAGTGCACACAGCCAGCTCATGTTCAGCTTTTTGTCCACCGCTCATTTTCTAGCCCTCAGAGTTATCCAAGAGTTTGAAATCCCTGATATCAGCGTGCTTTTTGTAAGGAATAAGTGCCTCATCACACGCTGTGTGTGCTCAAGCAGAAATGTGGGGAACTGAAACCTTGGGTGAGCAAGAAGAGGGGGTTTCATGCAGTTATTTCAAAGGCACGTGAGGTCCAGTGCTCCCTCAGCTGTTGGTGGGAAATCTGAGACCTTCTCCTTGCACTGTGATGTTAATAAAAAGGTGTGGAGGGACTCAACCCATTTTTCAAGCCTCCTCGCACTGTTGCTCAGATGTGGCTCTCTGGGAGTTGCCTAGGTCTCCTGGGTAATGCTGCATTCGAACATGCCCTCTAGTGTGTTTTCCTTTGCATCTCTAACCTTGGGGATATTCTTTTTTCCTGTTTTAGGAATTTCTTTGTGACCCAAAGTTCAGTGATGAAGAAGATCTGGAGGAGAAGTTGACAGTGTTCAAAGGTGAGAACTGGAGCGTTTCTGTGTTCTGTTTCAGCCTGTTTGCTTTAAAGAGATTATTTTCCTCAGCACTTGGATCTTACCAGCCTTAGACTCTCCGCCAAATACCAATGACTGAGTTGGGATGGATGCCTCCCCCTTGCTTGTGAGAGTCCATGAAACTCCTCGGAGAGGTGGCTTTCTCACACAAGTCTCTGCTTACCCAGTTGTGGGGCAGGGACATGTCACCCTGCAGACATCCTGCCTGGCAGCTGCTGTAACCACAGAACCCGCTGTGTGGGCAAAACCCCGGGGAGCAGCGAAGGAGGATGGTTTCTGCCTAGATGCCTAGATAAGCTAGCTGGTGCAATGGATGATGCAGTAGCTGGACTCTTTCGGTGAGCAGCAGGACCTCTTCCCATAGAGCAGAGGTCTCAGCTGCTTCCTGAAGGAGTTGGGGCCTTTCTCTTCCCAAAAGTTTCTTCAGTCTGATCTGGTCCTTTCTGAGCCCCTTGGTACCGGAGGCAACAGGAGCAATGTGTCTAGTCCTGTCCAACTCCAGTGGGTCAGCAGAAATTGGGATTGAGTTTGGGTCATTTTCTGGGATGGGGGTAGAGAGAGCTAGTTCAAAAGCCTGGTCTTGCAGGGGTTCACCTGGAGCTTGTCCCCAGGTGGTTACAGGAAAAGATTGCATAGGACTTTGGGGTGCATCCACTTTCTTTCCAAGCAGTGGCTGAAGGCAGTTGAGAGAACATGCCTTCTGCGTCACAGTGCCCTCAAGGTTTGTCCTCAGCCTGGTTCTAGCCAAATAAAGCCTGACCTTGCTTCCATTTCAGGTGTTGTCTGCTATTTTCCTTTGAATTTTGGCTTTTCAAGCTAGCATGGAAGAAGCTGGCTGAGGTTTTGTGATCCCTTAGCCTGCCTGGGCACAGAGGAGCCTCCAGTGTTCCCCATCCTTTTTCTGTTGCCTTTTGTACAGCTTTGGCTTTTGCCCGCAGCCCTGCATTATTTTTCCCATCACAATCGGGGCTCTTCAAACATTGCAATTGTAGGTCACAGGCGCAGAATTCCCTGTAACAAGAGCCCTTGGCATCTTATCCTGCTGCCTCGTGAGTTTGCCTCCGTGGCCTGTCCCGCTCTCCAACGCCTCCTCCGGGTCCTCCAACAATCGGCTTATTGTGTGATGATGGGGGGAGTGTTTTTTCTCTGCCGTCCTTCCTGCTGCAGTCCCCAGCCGGGCCCGGGGTGCCCAATGCAGTCTGTGTAAGTGCATTTGTGAGGGGAGGGACCATGCTTGGTTTTGCCCCACCAAATCCCTGCAGCTGGGATGGGAGGGAAAGATAAACGTGCGAGCCGAGGCTTAGAACACGATGATGTAAAGCTGCCTCTGTTCTCTGTGCTTTTGGCTGTCAGCTGGGAAGAAATGAAAACATGTGCTGGGCGTGGACACGGCAGAGCAGGGTTTGTGGCCCTGAGCACATGCAGGGGTGCCTGACCCTGCCCAGGGGGGTGGCAGTCCATTTGCACGAGGCTGTTACGGTGGGCAGAGTGTGGGGAGAGCTGGTGCCACATCAAGCATGGCTTTAGGCACTTAAGCACATGTGTGACAGCTCCAATTTCATTTAGGATTGGTTGCTTAGTGCTTGAAGGGAGACATTTATTCCTGCCTGAAGCTTGAACAGCTTTGGTTTGTACATGGTTTGTCATCTGAGGACAGCAGTAATCCACCAGCTGAGACCCAGGTGAAGACACTCCAAGCCATTCCTCTGCCTCCTGCTTGTGGCTGCCCATCAGTCCAGTTAACCCAGCGCTTCCCTTCGGAAGCACAGATCCTGGGGAGGCTCCGACGTGTGAAATATCCTCTCTTCCTTTTGGCTCCTTAAATTAACCTGCCACTTTTCTGTTCACGCTCATCTGCTTGCTGGTGTCCCTGGAGCAGAGGCCAAAGATCTCTTCCCCTGGGGGGAAAGGAGCAGCCTGGGAGCTCCCGCTTAATTGGAGTCCTGTGAGGCTGTTCGGGGGGGCAGTGCTAACTGCAGGGCAAGTGGAGATTTCTCCAGCTCAGTGTGGATGAGTGGTGGCAGCAGGCATCTTGCTCTTCTCACTTAGCAGAACCTGAGGTGATGGGAGCCCCCCCGGAGTGCTGGGAGCTGTATGGTCTGTCAGATAGAGAAATCCTTGCCTGAAGAGCTTAAAGTCTAAATGGGCAACAGTGAGCAAGGCAGAGGAGGGGTAGGAAGCACACAGGTGTGCCACTCCAAAGGTCAGAAGCAGCACAGGACTGAAATCCTGATTTCTTTCTTTTTTTTTTTCCCCCTAACTCAAATCGGTGTTCTGTCTGTTGTGGTGTTCCAGCTTTTGTCCTGCAAAGCTAGCCAGACCTTGAGCAGGCTCTGCCTTTCTCTGAGGATGCTGGAGTGGCCCAATTCAGCAGTGTTTGACACCAGGCTGGAAGAGCACAGCCTGCTCTGGTGTAACTCCTCCTAGGCATGTTCTTGCCTTTGCCCTCTTGATGTGGTCCCTGAGCATCTCTGGCAGGTGCCGCTCTGGGAGTGCAGCGCAGCATTGGGAGGACTGTAGGGTTTGTCCCTTGCTGCTGCAGGCAACTACGTCATTTAATCTCCCCTCCTAATACGATCAAGCTTCATCTTGGGAGTGCTCAGTGTTTTGTTTTCCTTGCTACTCCTTCTGGGAGGCTGTTCTAGAGCTTTGTTTTTTCTGGCTGGAAACCTTTTAACGCTATTCATGGCTAGCTGATACCTTGTCCTCATGCCAGCGTTTTGCTTCAGCTTAAACGAAAAGCAGCCACAATTAAAGAGCACTTAACTCTAGAGCCCTGGAATTGAAATAAGGGTACTAAAACTAGGTCTTGAGACGGTCGTCCTCTCTGAACTGTTTGCATTCAGCAGTATATCAATCTTACCCCTAATCTTTTATTTCTTTGCTCTAAGTACCCCCTGCTCTAGCATCCTGCTAACTGGCTTCTGTGTCTCTTCCAGAGAAGTACATGGAGTTTGACCTGAACAACCAAGGCGAGATTGGTGAGTGACTCAGGGATGCTGGGCTGGAAAAGCAGCAGCTTGCCGAGGCAACATCTGTTGCTCTATCCGCTGCTTCCCTCTGAGCTTGTGTTGCCGAGGAGGAAAACCCATGGGCTTTTCCCATGTCCAACCTTGCTTGGATCTTGATTGCCAGCCACGGGCTTCCTTGGATCTCCAGCCCCTGCCTCTCAGTTTTTGCAGTCTCTCCTCACCTGCTTTAAGATCTAAGCTCTTCCCAGTCCTGTTCTCCTGAATCTCTGCTTAGCTCCTCCACTTCCTTCTGTTCTAAATGCTTTTTTCCTTCTCCCTGTTTTTTCTGTTGAGGCTGCCTTCTCAATCCTCAGCATTTCCAGAGGTGGGAAACTGCAGGGCTTGCACAATCCTGGTCTTTGCCTGTCTTGAGGGAGAAGCTGTATAAAACCATGAGCACTTGTAGTGGAGAGAAGCTCTTAGCTCTGCTGGGAGGGAAGCAGAGGACTGGGGTGTGAGTCTGCCTCTGCTGAGCAGCCCTGGTTTGCATCCAGAGAGCACCAGTTATGTAAAGGTCCAGCCTTCTGCAGGCCTGGAGCTGACGCTGAAGTGTAACCACCCTCACGCTGTGTCCTTCCAGGAGGCTGCAGCCTCGCTCCCCTCCTCCACTAGCTCATGAGCTGGAGGAGACCTGGCTCAGTGCTGTGCTGCCGTTTCCGGGAGGGAAGGGGCCGCAGTTCTCAGCAGTTGGCCAAGCAATGGAAGGAAATGGCCTGTAGTGATGGGCAGGGGCACCCGCTCCCCACAGCCTGTTTGTCTCCAGCTTTAACCCCGGCGTTGCTTCCATCCTTGTGTTTCTTGGCACCACGCTCTGAGCTAGAGAGCTGTGTCCTCACGTGTCTCTGGAGCACCAGGAGGGTTGTCCCTCTTCTGCGTGCGGTGCTCTTATCTTGAGCTGCACAAATGGGAAGTGATGCTCCGTACTGGGCAGGACAGCAGTGGGCTGGACTGGAAAGCTGCTCTTGGCTTTCAGGAGCAGCTTAGCGCTGTCAGCTCCAGAGCCTGCAAGTGAGGTGATCTGAGGTTAGGGATTCATGCCCCTGTCTCCGTGCCCAGTGTGGTCACTTCTCGACAGCACCAATTGCCTTGCTATTACAGATTTGATGTCTGTCAAAAGGATGATGGAGAAAATGGGGGCTCCGAAGACCCACCTAGAACTGAAGAAGATGATCTCTGAGGTGACCGGAGGGGTTAGTGAGACCATCTCATACCAGGACTTCGTCAACATGATGCTTGGGAAACGCTCTGCTGTGCTGAAACTGTGAGTGTCCCTGGGAGGGAGTGGGGGAGACACAGGACCTGAGCTGGCATGTTGGGGAGGTGGGGAGGCAGGAAGCAGAAGCTGTTCTGCGTGGTAGAGGTGGAGCTGTGCATGCTTGGTGCTCGTGGAGGGCAGACGAGGACCCTTGTGAAGGGGGAGCTTGCAGAGAGACATGAGGGGGTGTCTGGGCAGTGGTGAGTGTTTACAACACAGGCTTCCTCCCACGTGCTCCATGCAGAGCGATCCTTTGCCTTTCCTGAGGATCCGCAGGCACTCAGCACTGCAGGACTTCTTCCTGTCTCTTCCCTGTGGCTCCTGCTGGCTTTGGGGACACAGGCTTCCCCTCAGCATGGTGGCAGGACTCAAGCAGTGAGTGACCAGCATTGCTGGCTCCTATTTCCTGCAGGATACTCCCTCTCTGCCTGATTTTGGAGAGGTGAGCAGTAGACCAAGATGGACACATGCTTGAAACAGCTGGCTTGTGCTGGGAGAAGTTTTCTGCAGTACAGGCTGCCAGCACTAGCCTCCCACGGCCCCCTCTGCCCCCTTGACAGGGTTCTAAAAGTCCTGCTGTAACAAATGGCTTCTGAACACTTGCTTGGCTCCATCTCTACCCCATTGAAGCCTAGCTTTTCCTTTCACAGCCACAGAGCCTGGCCCTGCTTTTGTGTCTGTAGCCACCGTGAATAGGAGCTGCTCCTCTCCATCCCCTTACCCCTTTCCGAAGGCAGCTTTAGAAACACAGCCAGCTTTCAAGGCAGGGGGGGGAGGAAGGATCTTGCTCCCACCTCTCACACAGTCCCTTTAAGCTGGTACGTGCTTGCTGGTGATGAGTCTCCTCTCCCCATTGAGTGCCCTGTGTCTGCGTGTGGAATTCTCTTCCAAGCACACACAGACTTCCAACAGCCCTGTTCTAACCTTCTTTCTCCGTGGAAGCAGGCTGAGCCTGCAGCCTGTCCCATATCTTCCATCCTTCCTCCCAGCTGCAGCAGCTTTCACAGATGGGTCCCTTCTCTTGTTAACAGATGCCCCATTGTCTGTTGGAGACTTCAGAGCAGGAGCAGAAATGTAAAACCCGTCCCAAGAGCAGATCAGTCCTTTGATCCAGCGTGGCAGCTGGCATTCCCAGTATAGCTACAGTCCTCAGGGAGGAAGACTGATGGTGGTTGCAAAATACTTGAGATTCTTTTAGCCAGTGCCTTGCTCCTTGTCTCTGCCCTCTTTCCTAGCTGTAGTTGCTGTTGCTTGCTTGGTCTTGGCTTTTGAACGTCCCGCTGTGTGGTTACGTACAAGGTGGGCAAGGACAGTGTCTGCTTTTACGCATCAGGACCACTTGGCATGCAGTGTGTGCCCTGCGGATTTCAGACATGGCTGTCTAAATAAAATGTGCTAATCCTCCAGGCTCCGAGCGGAAAACCAATAGAGGCTTTGGGAACTAACTCCTGGAAGCTGCTGGAAAAGCAAAGCAAAGCTGCCTGTCAGGCTGGCGGCACTGCCCTCTGGCTTTCCCTCTGTTAATAATCAGCTGCCCTTTGAACAGGAGGTAGAGGCTATTTTTCAGCAGGTAAAATAAGATAATCCCACCCCCAGCAATAGGTACCTGCTTTTTTCATTGGTATTATCTGTTGTGTTTTGCAGGGTCATGATGTTTGAAGGAAAAGCCAACGAAAGCAACCCCAAACCTTCTGGTCCGCCTCCAGAGAGAGACATAGCCAGCCTCCCTTGAAGAGGACAGGCTGGAAAGTGGGCACTGTTTGCTTTGCTGGCCTGTAACAGGGGTTACCCGTGCTTTGTCACTTTTTACTGTGGACAGTCCTAGTTTTCAACTAACCTGCCTTAGAGGAACAGCAAGGGAAGCTGGAGACCGCCAGCTCGCATCTTTCTGCTGCATCCCTTAGCCAACTTGATTTGTTAGTCGAGCTGTAGCACCACCCAGTGTAATGGGAGACCAAAAAAAAAAAAAATTCTGTGATCTTACTCTTTCCTCTGCCCTTCCTGCATTTCTCAGACGAGGAGCTGTGCTTTTGTCCCAGCGTATGGATTCAGAGCTGTGCTTGTCACAACGGGTTCCTAAAGGGCCTGACACTGAGCGCTTCTCTGGCTAAGCCCCTGACAGCAGCTTCACGGGTGCAAAGAAATAAGTGCCTTCTCTGCTCCATCCTATGCTTGGACTAGTTCTTCCCCCTCCTGACCTCACCAAAACACCAGCCAGGCTCCCACTTCTGTGAGCTGGCTGCATGCCAGGTAAATGTGGGAAGGTGCGTGGACACCAGGGTCTGTCAGCAGGGCCTTGACGCTTGGAGGTGGGCATGGCTGACTGCAGGGACAGCTTCTGTCTGCTCTGGGTTCATGCTGCTGCCAGATCTTGGTGGGTCCAACACCCACCACTGCGAGCGAGGATGATCAGAGCTACCTTAGGGGGCCCTTCCTGATAAATCTCCACTTGGATGTGATCAGCAGCGTGACCTCTTGAACGTGTGGTGGTTCTGTCCGTCGAGTGTAGCAACAAGCCTGCTGGTACGCCTGTGCGGCCCCTCAGGATGACCTAGAAGAAACTAAAGCTTCGGGTGAAGGGAAGCGGGTGACTGCGAGCCCACACAGACCGGTTGTGTGTGAGGATCGGTACTTGTGTGGCTGCTCTGTCCCTCTGATGGTTCCAGACCGCCCTGTCTGTGTTTTAGCTTGGTCCCCTGAGACTATTGGGTACGTTTCCCTGATGTATAAGCCCTCAAGTCAGCAAAATAAGAATGGCTGTAAGTGTGGAGCATGAGCTGGGATCCAGATGTAGCTGGGACTGTGCTAGCCACGCTCTGATTACTGCAGGGATTCTTGCTCCATGCGCAATTTCTGGAATCCAGATGTTTGCTCTTTGCCCTTTCCCTAATATTTTCTTAAATATTCTTGGCAGCTTTTAATGTTTTATTTTTTAAAATCATGGTTAATAAGTAATTTTTTAAAGGAAATACAGATGATTAACTCTACTAGGCTGATTGTTCCTGCCAAAGGCTGCACTTTTAAATAAAAAAAACAACACACAACACATTCTTGCTACTGTTTGCATGAAAACCAAAACTGTAACAGAGGAAAAAAAAAATGAGCAAAAGCAGCACCAATGTACTTTAAGGACTGAAAAATAAACCTTCTGAAGATACACTGTGTCAGTGTATTTAGTTTAGCTCCTTGGTCCATATGATTGGTTGCAGGTTAAGTGAGCTGGTTTCCAAGTCTGTTAATAAAAACCCTTAAATAGATCCTAGGGATAGGTTTGGGCTGTCTTGATCTGATCTTTATCTGTAAAAACTGATCAAATGCCACAGAGTTTGTGTTATGAAATGCAGAGGCCACCTCCTGAAAGCTCTTTTTTTGATATCTTAAAGTGGGTAGTAGTGCTCATTTTAAGGAATAACTTGTTTATCAGGAGCAGATACTTGTAATGCAATGTTTCTCTTGAAAGAGTATTTTTTATCCTTTCTGCTCTTGAAGCAATTGCCTGAGGTTCTTGTCTGATGTATCAAAATGGAGAGCAGGTTTCCTGGGGAAATGACTGAGTAGACTTTTTTTCCACGTGTTCCTCAGAAGGACAGAATTGCCCTTACATCACAGCCCTCTGTCTGCTTTCTGCCTGTTAGCTTCTGGGAACTCACGTGCTTTTCTGGGCTTGTTGAGGTAGAAAATGAAAGGAGCATATTAGATGAGGGAAATTTGGGTTGGATTTTGCCACAGTTCAGGTCACTGCCTGAAGCCATCACTGCTTTTTGTTTCTGTGGAAATCCTTGTCCTTATGGTCATGGAAAAGACAAGCACAACTTCTCTGAGCTGGGGACAGCCTTTCTCACCATGTCCTTGGTGCCAAGTGCCAAGGTGATGCACACCCTGTGCTGGCACGCTGAGCTGGGACTGAACCCCCTGACCCTGGGCCAGGAGGGAGCCAGGGAAGAGGCCCGGGGCCTGCTGTGGCTGCAAACACACGCACTGCTTCTGGGGGGCCTGGAGGGCAGGATGGCTGTCCCCACTCCAGCCTTCCGTGTTTCCAGCTCAGCTGCACATAACCGTGTACGGGGCACGACCCTGAGCACTGGGCCGTGCGTTCCCACTGCAGTCCTGCTAAGGGAGCGGATCTGTGTAGAGCTCAGTGCCATGAGGCCTCCTGCGTGGAAGAAGCACCGAAGCCCTTAGCGAAGGCTGGTGGAAGGGGCAGCGCCGCCCCCA